AAGTTAGAAAGGTCCTGAAGCTGCATCCTCATCCTTGTCTGGACACAGGGCAATTAAATGCAATGGTGGCAACAGCTCACCCTGCTGCACAGAGACAGGCTGGAGGAGGAGATCCCCCCTCCCCATGAGCATCAGTAGGCATGCACTCCCCGAGCAGTATCCTTACCAGGGAGGCGGATAGAGTAATTTAAACAAACAAGGCCCCAGTGATGGAAGTTTCAAGCTCAAAGCTACCATATGGAGGGAAATCATCTGACCACAATTTACCTGTTAGACTTCAAAAGTGTCTAGGTCTCCCCTAAAGAAAAGCAGCCTTTTCTTTAATGAAGTTAAGTACTGTATTTCAGCACTGTGTGTTGTGAAAAGGAAGCAATTTGGGTTCATTTACTGAAATTTACCCTTCAGATGCAGTTAAATGAAATTAAAAGTTTGTCTGAGTTGACAGAGTTCTGTTTTCCATCACTGCATTGTCTTGAAAGAAACGATAACAGGCTAAGTGCTTAAATTCCATCCAAACTGATAAGGTTCACTCTGTACAGGCACACTTAGTGCAGTTTATTACACATTGTCTCTCTTCATCCATCACTGCTATAACTTTCCCCCCCCCCCCTAAAATAACTGCTGCTTCAAAAAAAAAAAAGATATTTGTGATGTTATTGCATTCATTTGGGGTTGAATAGTCAGCACTGCACTATCAGAGAAATGTCCTTTCCAATTACAGGGGGAATTAATTTCATTTCCTACTAATGACAGGTATTGCAGGGCAGAGTTTACATCTGGGACAAGAATTTATTTTTTTCTCTTCTGATAACAATTCTTTTCCTTTAATTTCTTTCACGTGCAAGTGAAGCAGCTGTGTACCCTCAGTGTCTCGCCAAACACCACCTTCACCCCGATCTCTTCCTCGACAGTGGGAATGAACCTCTGAATTTGCCCATTACATCCTCTCTAATTCTTTCTTCCCACCACTGTATTTCTCTCTTTCACATCCCCCAGCTGCCATCGCTCCTTCCAAACCTCACACCTTCTGAAACACCCTCCCAGTTAATAACTCCCCTCTCTCCCTTTTCCCAGGAGCTTTCCTCCTGCCCTGCTTCAGAGTCCCAGGAGCTATAATGATCCCTGCCCCCAGCTGGGAAGAAGTTCTCTGTTCTCTTGGGCTGGTTTTGTTTGCAACCTTAAACCATTTGCCCACTAGAACAAAGGTGCGATCCTGATCAGGTCTTCATTGACTACTCTGAAACATCACAGACATTTCTCTACTCTTCCAATTAACTGAGCAGCTCATCATGAAAAGCCAGTGAATGTTCTGTAATTAATTATTTCTATTACAAGGGGAAGCTTAGCTAACACAGTGTCAACAGGAACAGTAACACACACTCTGTAAGCCAAACTGCAGCCTTCCAGCCCAAGGGTTTTGCCTCCCCTCCCTGCTGCCCGAGCTGGCTTTTGGCTACAGGACCTAGCTAGGGTTTAAGTTTTGTCTAAGTTCAAATTCCTCCCAAAGACAGACTTCAAATCTGCACATTTCTGCAAAATAAAGTAGTTAAAGAAAAAATCCCGCTACTTGAAATCTCCATTTAATTTTGATTCTTGACAATTTCAAACACAAACTGCAGCCAGGCAAGACTTTTTCATTTTGTTTAGACTTTGGGGGAAGGAGGCAGAAGAGAGAGGAAACCACACATTTCATCAGCATTTTTTATTTTTTAATAGCCTTCAGTGTAGCTGATTACCCAGGAGATCAGCAAATCTTAGCTCTGTCAAAGACAGGGAGAAGACAGAGCAGAAGCCTTCTCATCCTTCACAGCAGTACTAACCCTCCAACACACAAATCTAAACACCGTCCACTCAGGGGTGCCAACTCAAATGCCTCAGCTGCTAAGACAGAACAAAAAGGAAAGCACAATCTCCAAGGTATAACTGAAAGTAAATACTAATAATGATGTGTGACATTAAAGGATGACTCATTTTTCAAGAGGCCATTTCAGATTTCAGCTATAACCTCAGATCAGTCCCGAATGATGGTGTGAGCTGAAGTCTTAGTGGAACCATTAATTATGGATTTCCTGGTTTTTATAGGTTGGAGTCAGACCTTTGATGTTCCTTTAAGATTGTTCTCCCGTGTTCATTTCCTTTGTTTCTGTGTTGGTAGCTTAAAAAAACACCCCAAGATTTCCATGGAAGGGTACAAGATAGCCTAGAAATGCATAGTCCATAAAAGCCCTGCAATTCATGGCTCATAAAGCCCTCTAATCCATGGTCAATAAAGCTTTTGAAAAGAGCTGTATGAACCACAGTCATTTCACAGTTCAATGAGGTTCATGCAAGAATCAATAATCTGGTTTAAATTCGCCTGGATTTGTCTTCCACCTGTATATTTCTCTTTGACTTTTCAGGTTGAAAGGCAGCTCAAATTGCTGAATTCTGGAGACCTCGCATGCAAACAATGAGCTTTATGTAGCTTTCACCCAAAAGCTGTGACAATGACCTAAATCCCTCTACTTTGTCTCAAAGGTGAACAAGTCAAGTCTCAGGTGACAACAGGTGAGTTAGAAAACTCAAACTAGAAGAAGTACCATTTGGAATTATGGGGCCATACCTCAAGGTAATACTATATGCAGAGATCTCAGTCCATATAGAACATGGGGGGCTCCTATTTAAATATATGCAAATGCAGAATGGATCTATGGGACAGTCCAGAGTGTGAACTTCTAGTACACTGATTATCCTCCAAAAATGAGTGCTAGTAGTCTCATTGTTGAGTGCTGGTGAACCTTATTGAGGCAACGCAATATAAGCTTACATGCTTCTCTCCTGCACAGATAACACTCCATAACCCGTGTTATTAGCCATCCTAGCTGTTTCCTCCCAAGAATGATTATGCTATGAAGTCTGGTGACAGGCACACATTTCTGCTCTTTTCTTGCCAATCAGAAAGGAACCAGTTAGAGAGAACTCACTGTTTATTGCCTTGTGCAAGGTCCAGCTTGCAATTAATGCTGATGAAACCCAACTGCCAAAAGCACAATATGCAGCAGCTGGTTTATGAAAGTTGAGACCCTATCCAGTTTATGGGGAAACCAGAGCTGGTTGTGAGTCTCTGATTTAGCTGAACAGTTTGTATTTTTTGTTTTGTTTTGTTTCCAGGAAAACACCAGAAGTTACTCCAGAACTGTAGAAGCACTAAAACCATCTGAAAGCACTAAGGCAGACTTCCCTTCTTCCAGCCTTTCCTCATTTCTAGGGCTGTGATGTCCCACTAATATCTCCCTGGGATCTTTCAGCAAGGCTGGCGACACACAGAGCCTGGTTCATCACCAGCGTGGTGGGAGCGGAAACTTATGTTTCCTTATCCCAATCTCCATCCTTATGAAATGGAAGTAGAGGGATAAAAGGTTTTGATTCAGATGAAATCTCAGAGGAGCACAGAGCAAATATTTTAACTCTAACCTGGGGAACTACCCTTTTAAATGCTTTTCCTAGGAATGTTTCTTACTGAAATAAAAACAGCAAAAGGCACAAAAGTCTGCCCAAGCTATGCAAGCACCACTGCTTTAAGCCCGCAGCTGCACACTTCCACAGCCAGATCAGGCCCAATATCCAATATCCTTTCTGGATAGATATGATGGGGACTGGAGGATTGTGCCTAACTGCCAGGCTCCTATCAGATCTATTTAAGTCTTGTATGACATGACACATATGGTAGGCTGGACCAGACACCCTTGTGAAATGCTGGGACATTGTGGGACACCACAACTCAGCGGCCTCCAGGCAGAAGAAAGATAGAAAAGGCCCTTGTCCTCGAGGCAGTCAACTATGTTGAACCAAATGCCTCTTAGTTCATGCTTAAACATCCTCTGTGGAGAGGATCCAACCACTGAACACACTTTGAGAACAAAACACATGAATCCTTCTTACCAAGGCTGACTTTAACCTCAGAAATAGCCTTGCTATGTTAAGATTAATATGCATCACCTTGATAACAACCTTTACAACACTCACCCTGAGAATACACATTTTTTTAAAAAATGCTCCATTAAAAAGAATGAATAAAAAAAAAAAAAATCCCAAAACATAAATATGTGGAGTTTTTTCCTTAGCAAAGGGAGAAGCCTCTGAGAGAGACTGACTCATTTTATTTGCAAGGAATTGCTATGAAAATGGGAATAAGAGCAATGCTCAAAGACAATCATTACATGTATAGGCAAGCAGCCAGTTCCCAACAGATTATTTCATTCCTTTTACTTGTTAGGAGATCTATAAACTTTGTGGCTGTTTATCTGACCATGACGTGGGCTGGATAAAGGCACTAAGAGCTTTCCCAGTTTTAGAGGTGGGAGAATAAATTGCCCAGGAATCCTAAAAGCACACATCAAGAAACTTTGGTAAAACATGAAGGCTCTTATTCAAACACTGAATGGGAGTTTTTAACCTCACACCAAGATTGGAACGGCCATGGGAATGTGCCTACCTCCATTCTCTTCACATAGAGGCCTTAGTTAGGTAATTGATTTTGCCTCAGTTTGCTGGTTTCAGTGTAGTCTGAGATGTTAAAACATTTCAGCCCCAGAACACAGTTAAGAAGATTGAAAGTCAGATATGTCAGAACATTAAAAACTCACAGAAATATTCTGCCTGGTTGGAAAATGGGTGAGCCTTTTTGCTGAAAACTGACAGTAAATATTGGAAAATAATTATTGGAAGGAAGAGGGCAAACAGAATATTTTCCATTGTAATTTTTTTTCTGTTTTCACTCTGAAAAGTCCTTGTTTCTGTATGTTTTAAATATTCTAAGCATTAGCTTTTTTTTCCTCTTTTAGATCAAATGTGCCCATGAGCCTTCCTCCTTCATTAGGCTCCAAGAACATCACCTCACTCCCTGTCTCTCCCATTTAGCCTTTCTCCAACCCTCTGTATGGTCTAATCAACAAGAGCTGGGATCTATAAAGAGCAACTAGTTAGGAGAGAGCAGAAAGAGGATAAAAGTTATGACTCACCTGTCTTCTATCCGAACCCAGAGGTCATTGAACTGCCTCTGGCGATGGTGTTTGGGCTGCTTCTTGTGCCATTTCTTCTGCCTGCCAAACTCTTCCAGTTGGCTGATGCTATCTGGCAAGAGGAGGTGAGGAGACAGGCTGTCTTCTTCGTCCATCTGCAGGGGCTTCAGGGAAGGAGATGCCAGTGGAACCTGCTCAGAAAGCTGGACAGTGGGCGGGGCTGTTGCTGACGATCCTTCCAAGGCTGGGCTTGTCTTTGTCATCCTTGAGCTGCAAACCACAACATTGAGACATTTGATGAATAAGCGAGGGATTGTGCTAAGAAAAAGTGAAAGCAGAGGCTGGGTACACCTACTGCTAAGAAGGTGTGCAAGGAGAAAGGCTTTTGCTCTGGGGCAGCAGCTAAGGGCAGCAGTGACATTTCCTAGCAAGCTTTCAAATAAACAATAAACTGAAAAGGGGGAAAGGGCAGTTAATACGCTATTGCTGTTTTCTGGTATTTTAATTACTTCTTATAGGCTTTAGAGCCTGTAGGAGGCATCAACATCACCTCCCTTGCTAGGCAAAGGAAGTTTTCTCTGAGGAAAACAGGTACCTTAACAGAAGCTGATTGTAAACTAAGTCGATAACACTCGTTCCTTTTTTTTTTTTTTTTCCCCAACTTTAAATATCATCTGAAGAAAACAAAGTCATTGTTTGGACAGGGAAGCCCAGACTGATGACAGAAGTGTGGTCTAATAGCTAGGCTGCTGGGATGGGATATGTGAGACCTGAACTCTAGCAGTTTTTGTATAATGAAGAAATGAAGCAAAAAAAGGGGGTAAATGACCTGTCCAAAGCCACTTAGAAACAATATTGCCATAGCTCTTTACTCCTGTTTGAAATACTACCACCTCTTGCATCTGACTGGAACTATGCAGAAAAAGGCACTTTATTGTTTTCATCTTCTAGAATTTCACTAATTTTAGAAAAAAGTCAATACAAGCTGTCTCCTTTGATATGCAGTCATATGAACTTATATTTGTGAGCTAAGATATCTGAACCAAAAATCTAATAAACCAGTACTGAAACAAAGTGATTTCATCCCCCACCCCAACATCAGTAGAAGTTCCTCTTCGGTATTAATTGCAAGAGAGGAAGTTTTTCTGTCTCTGGGATGGCCCAATGAGTTGTAGGTACTGCAAATGGAAAAGAATTAATAGGCAATATGAAGCTGTGGTCTACAGAACTATTTCTATTACATGGATGCTATGACTTTTATGACAGAAACAATTAAAGCCACGTGAAAAGTTTTGCCTCCTGAGTGAAACCAGTAAGACATTTTAATCAAAAAGTAATAAAAAAATCCTAAAGTTCATTGGTGACAATGTACAAAATGTGCTGCAAGTGAAACCACATGTTTCATTAGTGGAACATGTTGTTCTCTTCCAAAACAGTCACATCTACTACTAATCGCAGTTTTTTTCCATTTAGATTTTTTTGAAGTCCATTACAATAACAGTCAAGATGGTCATCTCTATTTTCACTGAACCACGTTTCACCCAAAGGTTCTTCTAATAGCTTGTAATCATTGCTACTATGGGATTCACTGGCAAAAACTACAGTAACTGTGTCACTCGTAGCAAACATTAATGAAGTTCTTCAGAGATCATATGACAGATACAGAAAAGAAAGACACTTATTTAAACTAATTCTAAGATTCTCAAAGGTTGCTCTCAATATATAATAAAAGACACAAGAAAATCCTGTATTCTTCCTCTTTTTCCAAGCATTCAGACTCTCAGTGAGTCCTTTTCAAACTCATTCATACTCACTCCATGCTCTATTTTACATCACAGAGAGATCTGCTGGTTCTAGATTTTTTCCCCATTAAGACTTTCTTTTATGTTTCATATTGAGGATGAGTTTTCAGCAGTGCAGCAATGTTCTTTGAGAGATCTTGGTGCTCTCCAAAGCCTTCAAGACTTCTTAGGGACATAGGCTCATTGCTAAAGCAAAGACAACTCCAGGAGATGAAAGGTTCTCATACGTTTGCATTGGGTGGGTCCTTCAGGCCAGAGCAGACAGCTCTTAATTTTTAACCAACCATGATAGTGGGTCAGTGAAGTATCAACATGCAAATGCAGCCATTTAGCAGCTAGGAAGATAACAGTGTGAACTTGGATATGATGGGTTAGGCAGGTAGGAAGGATCTGGACCAAGCACCTATAAACACCATGTGGGTAACTGCAATGGCCACAGGCAGCAATGGGTGGCAGGAAAGCCCCAGCCTCATTGCCTGCTGCACAAATGCCAAAGCAATGGGAACACAAGCTGGCTGATACTGCCCAAAGACAGTTCATTGTGGTACTGCTGGATGCCTCTGCTCTTCACTGTGTGATGTGAATTCACGAAGGTCTTCCCACAACCCACCCATCCATCTGCACACTGGGGAGAAGAGCACTACCTGGGCCACAAAGCTGTGATGGGCAGAAACATGGTAAGAAGGCAAGAGCACGGAGCAGACGTGAGAGCCCGAAGTAGACAAACAGACCATCACAGCTGAAACTGAACTGTTGCCAACATTTCTATTTCCATTAACTTTTTTCTCCTTGCCACCAAAACTGTGCCTCGTGTTCTGATCTGTCAGTAATCCCCTAAGACACTGAAAGTAGGAGCAGCCCCCACGCCAGCCCACATCTGCCAGCTCAAAGCAGGAGCTGCCATTTGGTTCCTTGAGTGGTCTTGGAGACATCTGAACACATACTTTCCACCTTTTAACACCTACTATTTTGTTACACGTGTTTACCTTGCTCTGAGCTCCTAGTAAACTGGAACCAGTAGAGAGGTGTTTTTATGGGTTGAGATTTTAGAAACCACTTAAGACGACTGGCAGCTCACTTCTTATTAAAATTAATGAGTTTGGGCATCAAAATCCCAGTGGTGGCTTTGAAAGCTTCTAGCTTAATTGTTTCCACTACCATCACATGAGCCACAGGTTGTAAACTCGATATTTCAGAACATTCTTTGGGAAGAGAATAAATAAACACTAAAGAAATGTTAAAATGCTGTAACCTAAAGAGGGTTATAAACTAACCACTTGTACTTTAGAGTTGACGCAGGGGGAATAGCTCCACTGTGGCAACTCTATATTACATTTGGTCAATACTTGTTCCGTTATTCCTGTACTGCTAATAATTTCCCAAGTTCCTAGGAGGGACTGTTGAAGGCTGCACGTTGATGCATGTTTGCTTCTTTCAAAAAAATGAATTTTTTTTTAAACTATTTTAATAAATCTAGAGAACTGTTTGTTTTCAAATCTGATCACCATCCTACAGACATTCATCCAGAAGTAAAATCAAAACTTTTAATCCCACAGAATATGGATATTTAATCCAAATATATTTTAAGAATATTTAAAGATTTTAAGTCAAAGTGAAGTAGACTTCCTGTCAGAAGATAACTTTCCTATTGATTTCTGTAAACATTTTATTAATACAAAGGGCTTGAATTTATTAATATACTGGATTTTTTTTACTGAAAAAAAAAAAAAAAAATGGACAAAAAGCTCCCATCTGCAATAGGATACCTGGACAATAGATCTCCCGATTGTGTGAAGCTTAACTGTTAGATTCAACTGATCATTTAATGGACTATTTTTTGCTTTTCCTTTGCTCTCAGTCTCAATGCACTGTTAGCACAGCTGCACTGTATGAAACTATAGAGATATAATACACTTTTTTTTTTCCCCCACTGCTTCACTACTGCTGAGACAGCTTTTCAAGATACATAGTTATTTCTAGAGCCAGAGAAAAAGCAGGGCTAGTTTTCAGGTTGTGAGGCTGCAGTGCCTCTTCTGAAGAAATAGTGAGAAAGTACCACCCAGATCTCTTGGTCCACACACAGATCTCAGAGATTTTTCATGAATAACTTGATACAACTCCAGGCTTAGAAGTTCCACCCATTTTAAAAATCTGTAACTCCCACACAGGGTGGTCTTTGAGACACTAAAAGTATTTCAGGATCTTAGGTGGGTTTTTCTCATCTCTGACCTTAATTTCCTTCCCTGGGATGCACACTTCTGAAAAACAAGTTCTCTAAAATAACAGACTCCAAATAAGAAAACTTGGGAGTCTCAGCAAATATCCTATATGGCTTGGCCCTAAGGTACAGAAAACAGAGTGAAAACAGGAAAACATTTATTCTTGCTAGTTCTTGAAAACGCTTAATCCAGAGAGACTCCTGTGGTTTTTGTTTCACTTCTGGTGAAATTTGCCACCCTTTTCTAATTCTTTTTAAGAATTAAAAGAACAAAACACACAAGCAGTTTAGGCTGAGCTGTGTGCTCCATTAGGCTGTCTCAGCATTTCTCTCTCTGCCTTGTGGTGTCTATTGTCACTCTGTGCTGGCACTGACAACAGAAAAGTGACTCATCATTGGGATTTGCTATGGTTATTGAGCAGACCTGTTCAGAAAAATGGCATTACCATCATGAAGTCCTGTAATAGCTTCTTTCTATAATTCCTAGGTTTAAAATTGCTCAGGTTCCACTTTCCTTCAACCCCAAGCCACTTGGCAGTCTGGCCATGCCTTTCTCCCAGGCAAGCATCTTCCTACCCCTCACACCAGGTATCCAGTTTCTGCAGCTCAGAGGGCCATGACCATCTCTGGGCTTCACAACCTTCTCTGTAGGGTGAATCAGAGCACCCATGTTTTATTCCTGCTCTGAACAGCCCTTGCGAATAGCCCACCTTTGCCTACCAGTGAAGGCTGTGTGGTGTTAAAACTACACCTTGCACTGCACCTTGTCCCCACCAACAGGGATTTTCCCAACCACCGATTCATTGACAAGTTTCTGAGGGAAGCATCAGGCAGGGCAGACCCCACTAACGCCCCTGCCCACTGACCCTGCCGGAGTAACGTTTGGGGTGAGTCCCACCAAGTCTCCCGTGGACTTCAGCAAAGCCAGGAATTTGCCCTTGCTTTAGCTTATGAGAGGGGACATGCCTTTGCTGACAATACACATCTTCCGCACAACTAAATCATCAATCTATTTTTTCAGTGAACTTGCGGTAGCGTTTCTGTTCCCTCAGATATGTGCAGAATCTTCTAAAATACAAGTTTGCCAATTTGTAATTTGCATCTTGTCTTTGTAGTGTGAGCAGTGGAAAAGTTTTGCTCAGAAGACTGCCATGCTTTGCATGTGCTTCCAAGTACGGCAACATCACTGAGGTTTTCTTGCTTCAATTTTCAGAACTGTCAGACAAGGAAAGATTTTGTTTCATCAAGAG